ATCGCGGCACTAGGTCAGGATATCTGCCAGCCCATTTAATTAAAACATAAGGTTTTCCACTGCATTTATCCAGGAAACTACAATTTACACACGCATACCTTATATCTTATACCTAAACAGAACTTAAACTGGTTTAAGAACTCTTGCACAATAGCAATATTAATGAACTTTAACGCTGTTATGTGTCCTTATTAGTTCTATACAAGCCACAGTATTATGTGCTTTGTCAGTATTATAACGACTCTGTAGCATGCCTTCCTATAAGCATCATATCAGCTCTCTGTATCATATTTTTCTATTAGCACTTATTACTCATATACTATCATATGTATCTTTGTCTACCTTAATATTTATTTGTACAATGTGTTTTATTCGTATTATATCTGCTTTGCTATTAGTATCATATCAGCTCTGCACCATGTATATTTATTGGCATCATATTTACTTTGTACCAAGTGTATTTACTCGTTCTTCACCTGTACTGCATCTACTCAGCACCATATCATTTAATTAGCTCTATATTTGTTCTGCATCATGTATATTCATTAGTATCATATCTGTCCTGCATCAAATGATTTTAATCGTACTATACCTGATTTGTATCATATGCTCCTATTTGTATTATATCTGCTTTGCATCATGAGTTTCTATTAGTATAACATATGCCCTGTACCATGTGTATCATATTCATGCTTGCATCATGTGTTTCTCATTAGTATTATCTCTGTCCTGCATCATGTGCTTTTAAATAGCATCATCTCTGCCCAAAGTCATGTGTTTTTATCAGTATTATAGTTGTCCTGAATCATGTCTTTTATTAGCTCTATATTTGCTCTGTATCATAACGTGTATATACTATTAACATATTTGCTCTGCATCATGTGCTCCTATCATGTGTTAGCCTAGGTTCGTGCACTATGAGTTGTCACACCATAAGTATTATTACTCATATACTACCATCTGTTTCATATGTAAACACAAAGAGTTCATTGCTAATAATTATCTTACAACTTATGTTATTATCTGTCTTAAAACTGCCCTATCAGTGTGTGTTTAACAGTATGCACTTTATGTTATACACGCGTGCTTTATATCTGGCAATGTTACACGCGTGCATTTTTATCTGGCATGCACCATGTGTTTTCACTAGTATCACAGCTTTATCTCTGCTCTGCATCCTGTGAATCTTACCAGTATTATTACACGTTTTTATATATCACATAGTATCATATCTCCCCAGCAGTATATGTTCTTAAGAGCATCATATGAATGCATTATTAGTACTCTACTTAGTAGTCTGTGAGTAGTATCTTCTGTGTATTTTAAGTGTTTTTATGTCCACTGTATGTTCTAAATGTTCAAGTGTTATGTGTTTCAGGTTATTCAATGTTGTTATGTGTATTATGTCTTACATTATTATGCCACCTCCACCCCCCCCCCTTTTTTTTTTTTTTTTTTTTTTTTTTTTTTAAGATTTTCTGTAACCACTGTAATCCTAAAACTTTCAAATGTCATACACATCACTTGTAATGTAGACTATGTCAACCGCCCTTGTATGGCCATGTAACTTTCTCATTAAGATTCAAATATACTCCCGAGGCAGCCTGATGAGGCTCCAGGGAAGTTGCCACTAGATAGTGGAGGACGCGGGGCATATGCCTGTTTACCTATGTTAAACATCAGGCGCCCTCGTCCTCCGTCACCTGTCACCTGTCTGCATCCCCATTCTTTATTTTTTGAATTAAAGTCTCCAGCAACGATAAACTGATGATTGTCAGGGCAAATACTTTTCAGTATATCTTCATTAAGCTCAACATAGGGTGGGTTGTAAAAAGTACTAAAATAAACAGTCCCTATGTAAGGTAGTAATATTGAAACTGTGACCATTTCATTTGTGGAGTTTCTTTTATCGGAAATAAAACAAGATTGCAGGGAGTTTCGTACATAAATTGCGACTCCTCCACCTCTTTGACTCAAGCGATCACATCTATATGTGCGATAATTATTAATATTTATGTTCTTACACGGAGTGGCGTAAGTCTCAGAAATTAAAGCGATGTCAATCTCATGAGTAGTGAGGAAATTGTGTAGTTCCGTGATTTTATTAAGAATGCTGTGAGCATTCCAAAAAACTGCTCGAATGGGGGCCTTATTAATGTTGTGATTGGCCATTATGGTCTCCGGATTGATGAGTTTCTTGAATTACTGCTTTGGTCTGTTGAATTTGCTGTGAAAGCAAAAAGCCTGAGCTTTTAATTACATTAACAAGTTCAGCCAAGTCGGCGAACACCTTTTTCGCTTCACTAATCGTGTCAGAATATATTCCAGTAGAGAGAGCTTGTGCGTAGCTTTTGCTTTCTACTACTCTGCTTGTGTAGGCTTTGACTTTCTCTTGTTTTTTCTTAGGGAATTTGTCACATCCTCGAAAATTCGATGTATGTTCTTGAAGGCAATTGGCACATTTCGGTGGTTTTTCTTTATTTTTATTGGGGCAAAGATATGATAAATGTTCTTCAGCGCACCGAACACATTTGGGCGTAAAGTAACATCCTGCTTGGGTGTGGTGGAACCCCTGACAACGGTAACATTGTAGGGGCCCAGCTCTACCTTTATAATCTTCAATTCTTACTCTAAGCCCGCATAGGTTAGTGATGTTATGTATTTCCTTCGATTTATCCTTTCTGGGTAGTGAAACAAGGAATAGAGGCAATTTAATAACCTCGCCATTTCTCCTGCTAGTCATTTGTTTGATAGAACTAACGACTAAATTTTTAAATTTTAATTCCTCATTAATTTCCTTGATTTCTGTGTCATGAAGTAGTCCCCTAATGACTACTTTAATATCTTTATCTTGTGGCAAGATAAATGAGTGATGTTCAATTTTTGCGGCTTGAAGCAGCTTAACTATCACCCTGTAGTCTTCGTCATCTTTAGTCATAATTCTAATGCCTTTAGGAGTTTGACGGCTATCTACTTCAATATTACGCTCTTGAAAGGTTTTCCTGATATTATTCCAGACCTTGTTAGTCACTTTAATGGTAATAGGTGGAATTTTATATTTTCTGACAAAGTTTGTGTCAGTTATCTCATTTTCGTCTTTATTTTGTGGGTTTGTTTCGGTTTGAGAGTGTTCCGTTTCCGGAGCAGTGGTATCCATTGTATCATTTTCGGTTTCAGCAGTAGTGGGTAATCCTTGTTTGTGTTTATTATATTGTGTTAACTCATGTTGTTTATCTTTTGATTGTGTATCATCATTAGATTTCTTATCAATAATATCAGAGTTAATGTGCCTGGTGGCACGTGGTAAGTCATTCGGCATATCTTGTTTTTGCTTTTTCGCCGGCGGTTTTGCCGATCTGGTGCGTACTGTCTGGTCGCCTCTTCGTTTAGTATAAAATTCTTCGTCAGAACTAGTTTCCTGATCGAGTGTAATTTCTTTTTCGGAGTTTGTTCGGTCATTATCATTAAATGTTAGTGGACTGCGTGAACGTTCGTTGTCACTAATTTTATCAGCTTCGTCAGTTTTTTGTGTATGTTTCGTTTTATTAGTATTACTATTTTTGTCAGCTAAGTATGCGTTGATGCATGTAAGCATGTGCACGTAGAATTTGTAGTCACGTTCTTGTTCGCAAGTAAGCGCACCATCATCGCAACGCTTATGTTCTAGCTCTTCAATGAGCTGCTCAAAAACAAGGCTAATTCTGTCCATGATCGGTCCGAAAAATCCAAAAATCCAAAAAATCGCAGCGCCCAAGAACGCAGAGAAAAACCCGCGCCCTGGAACCGGGCCCGCTCGACGGCGTCCCGGCAGACAGATGGGCGGGTGGAAACTCACAAGGCTCCTGACAATCACCTGACAGTGAGAGCTAGGGAGTAACTATGTGAGTTGAAAATCCAGCAAGGAAATAAGCAAATAACAGTAAACACTCAGCAATTAGGCGTGATAGCAAGAATATGGCAAGATAAGCAAGGCATAATCATAATCCGAATAACCGTCACTGCGTTAGCACGTGTCCGTGCTCATCGAAGCGTGAAAACGGCGATTTGGATTTGGCGGAACTCCCCACGATTACGTCCTTCGCAAGCGAAGGCAACCCTGAGAATGTCATATGACTCTTACGTAATTCTGGTTATATAAATTGAACTGAAACTCAAGCAGCCAATAATAATTTTACAACAATATTAACCATCCAATCAAAATGCATTGAGAACCAAAACTAACTCAGTCTGAATGAAGATTTCATTTTGGACATAACACACTTGCTTTCACTGCTTTGGCTTAGCTGGACTGCTGTCTGTCTGCTCCTCCTTTTTTACTGTAAATCTATCAAAAATGTAAGCTTTTTGGAAATAGGCACAATAAAGGTGAGAACTTGTTTGTGGCCGCCACAACATGTTTACTGAAATAAAAGTTAAATTAAATATATCTTGACATCGCTCAAGAATAATTTTATGTATCCTTGTTTTCCCCAAACAGCGAAGATTTATAGTTGATGATATGAATTAGCAATCATTCAAGTTCAATAAATAATTTGAGTGATAATGATTCTAAGCAAGGCAATTTTAACGGAAACCATTAACAGAAACGATGAATTTAATTTAAAGCCTCCATCGTAGTCTTCATTTGAATATTCATCGATAACTTAATTCCTACATAACTGATCTATCTCCTTTTTGTCTTCAGGTTCTTATTTTGGATAAGAAAAGAACACCTCTCTGTGGAGGGATGCTGCTGTCCAACCAGTGGATTCTTACCGCTGCTCACTGTCTACGCAAGCGATTGTACGTTCGAGCAGGAGAACATGATCTCACAGAGGTGGAAGACACAGAGCAGCAGGAAAGAGTAGCCATGATGTTTGAGCACCCCAATTATGATCCGGTGACCGTCGAAAGTGATATAGCACTTCTCAAAATGAGAATTCCTTTTGAATTGAGCCCGGATGTACAACCCATCTGTCTTCCTCACGAGGAGGATGAACTCCCATTCTATGCCAGGGCGACCATCAGGGCGACCATTGTGGGTAAGACATTCCTTGGTTCTAAAAAATTTAGATTTAAGAGCGACACGTAGGAATAGATCTTTGGCAATGTAGGACTATTGTTAGAACTGACTGTAACAACAAGGATGTCCTCTGGTGAGTAGCCAGAGAAGGACTTCAGTAAAAGCCAAGCGTTTAAAATGATAGGTTGTTTCAGACTCTTGCTCTGTAATTTTCTTAAAGTTAAATGTAATGTCCGCGTGTAGCTTAAACCTGTTAATACGTAAATCAGGGGCGTAGGTAGAGGGGGGCAAGGGGGCATCTGTCTCCGGGCGTGGAATCCGAGGGGCGCCAAACTGATGTTACGACAATTTAGAATTAAATGTTTTCCATCCTTGGCAAGTAGTAGGGGGCGCAAAATCTTCAGTTGTCCCTGGGCGCTGGAAACCCTAGCTACGACTCTGACACGCTAAAGGACTCTTATATGACTCTATCCAACACGACGCGCTTATAAAGGCGATTAATAGTTTGTTTGTATTTTTTAATCATTCTTTAATTTAATTGGTTACACCAATTATTAAATTTAAGAACAACAGATGAGTTTACATATCAGGCTTAACAAAAAAAAAATTTTTTTTCCTCCACTAGTTTACAAACTCAGTTGATTGGCCTTAAGTTTTTTTTCCTCAGTTCATTATGAATTAAACTTTTAATTAAATCCTTTGCAGCTTTAGTAGAGAAATTTATGAACTAAGTGTTAATTTTTTCCCTTCAATTACTTTTTTAAAAGCAACTGTGTGTGTGTGTGTGCAAGAAAAATAAAAAGTATGTAAAAGTTTAATTGTAGTTTAAATTAGCAGAGTAAATTAATTTCCCCTCCGTTTCCTAAAATACCAATCTCTCTTCTCGTCCATTCAAGACTAATCCATGTCATATGACTCTTAAATAACACTAATAATGTTGTAGAGTAGAGACATTAGGTTATTCAAAAGCAACTATGTGTGTGTGTGTGCAAGAAAAATAAAAGGTATGTAAAAGATAAATTATAGTTTAAATTAGCAGCGTAAATTAATTCTCCCTCCGTTTCCTAAAATACCAATCTCTCTTCTCGTCCATTCAAGAGTAATCCATGTCATATGACTCTTAAATAACTCTTATAACGTTGTAGAGTAGAGACATTAGGTTATTTGGATAACTCAAAATAACTCTTATAATGTTGTAGAGTAGAGACATTAGGTTATGCAAAAGCAACGATATGCGTGTGTGTGTGTGTAAGAAAAATAAAAAGTATGTAAAAGATAAATTGTAGTTTAAATTAGCAGCGTAAATTAATTTCCCCTCCGTTTCCTAAAATACCAACCTCTCTTCTCGTCCACTCAAGACTAATCCGTGTCATATGACTCTTAAATAACACTAATAATGTTGTAGAGTAGAGACATTAGGTTATTTGGATAACTCAAAATAACTCTTATAATTTTTGTAGAGTAGAGACATTAGGTTATTCAAAAGCAACTATGTGTGTGTGTGTGTGTAAGAAAAATAAAAAGTATGTAAAAGATAAATTGTAGTTTAAATTAGCAGCGTAAATTAATTTCCCCTCCGTTTCCTAAAATACCAACCTCTCTTCTCGTCATTTCAAGACTAATCCATGTCATATGTCTCTTAAATAACTCTTATAATGTTGTAGAGTAGAGGCATTAGGTTATTTAGAAGCAGAAGACATGAAAAATGAACAATGCCCCATGAAGGCATTCTAAGAAATCGGGAGAAATACCCAATATACTCACCCATTAAAGGGAGACTGGGGATTAGGGGACCCAATCGCAGAAAATAGGTGGGGGATAATCATCATCCACCACCTTTTTTTTTAGTTCGGGCGCCACTGTAGAGGCATTAGGTTATTTGGGAGCACTAGACATGAAAAATGAGCAATGCCCTGGCGGAGACTCGAACGTCGGTCCTCACGAATACGCACCGAGCGTGCTGACCATTACACCACAAAGGCACGTTAAGAAGGCGGGAGAGATACCCATAATTACATTAGATCTAAAACCCAAACAGCCAATAATGATTTTACAGCAGTAATTAATTATCAAATCAAAATGCAATTTATAATGGTGATGATGTAGAAATGTTGGAAAAGTGATGTTGATCCTTAATAATAACAGACTTGGCAGCCGAAGAAGGGTAAATATTTATATTTATTTCAGTTGATATTTGTGGTCACAATTCACTAGGCATTCTAATCTGGCCTATTCAAGAACATTTACATTGCCATCTTAGTCAGGAAACTGAACATTGATATGACGACCTGGGAAAAGAACTAAAGAAACAGGAAAACTTATGGCAACACAAAGCGCTTCTACGTGAATTCTAAACGTATGCCGCGATGCTGCTTTAAACATTTTTGCAATTTTGCTGTTGAATGGTATATGGCAAAAGTGCGGAGAAAATAATGCTTAATAAGAAACAATAAAGCTAAAAAGACAAAAGAGTGCAAGCACTTAGATATAACTTAACAAACCCTTTTGGGCGACCATTCAGATTTTTGTTTCATATTTTACGCAAATTTATTATTATTATTTATTTATTTTTATTAATTAATTTATTTTTTGTAGGATGGGGCACACGTACAAGTGAATCCGTTTATGTCGAGAATGTCCTTCTTGAAACAAATGTGCCAATAATTCCACCTAAAGAATGTCGGAACGCCTACAAAGATGTCTTCATCAGCGATCACATGATTTGCGCTGGCTTCGCCGGTGGGAGGGTTGATTCTTGCCGAGGGGACAGTGGGGGTCCCCTCATGCACACGCAGAAAGATGGCACATGGGCAGCATATGGAGTGACGAGTTTCGGAGAAGGATGTGGAGAGAAAGGAAAATTCGGTGTGTATGCCAATGTAGTCAGCCATCTATCCTGGATCAAGAGTGTCATCAAAAATTACAACTGATTAAAAAAAATATAGCTGATGGTAAATTTTTTAACAGTGTACAGTTCTTTGAAGAAAAATTCAATGTAGTATACTTTGATATATTTATTTAATTTTAATTTTGATTTTTTATTACGTCACACCGACAATATGATGCAAAAACTTTTCACGTTAAAAAAATTACTTGAAGCTGAAATGTAATAAATTTGTAAAATAAAAAATAACATTTGTAGAGTCATTTAGAATTTTTTATGTTAGAATACTGAAAAAATCCACAATACACTCATTGGAATTCGAACAACAGACCTCCTAAATTCGCGTGCTTTTATTCACAGCACGAAGGCATGCAGAGAGGATGTAGAAAATACCTTATATACTCCCACTTTTAAAAGGCGATTGTGGATTAGGGGACCCTGTCGCCAAATCCTGGGGGGTCACAAATTATCGTTTTCCACTTTTTAGTTCAGGCGTCACTTGTGGAGTCATTTAGAACTTTTTTATGTCATAACACTGAAAAAAAAATCTTCAATGCCCTCGCCGGAATTCGAACTTCGAACTTCTCAAATACGCGTCGAGGGTGTTTCCAGTTACACCATGGTGCAATGCGGAAAGGAAGAAAGAAATACCTTGTACATTGTAACGTTCGAGTTACGAAAATGCTTTATGCATTCAAATGCTCAAGCTACGAAAATATTTTATACATTGTAATGTTCAAGCTATGAAAATACTTCTTACATTGTAATGTTCAAGCTACGAAAATACATTATGCATTGTAATGTTCAAGCTACGAAAATACTTTATACATTGTAAAGTTCAAGCTATGTGTTGATCAAGCTACGAAATGTATTGTCTGCAGCACTGTCTGGTAAGCGAAAGAAGTTAAATTCGAGAAAAAGTCAGATTCAAATTCGAGATGTGTATAAATATAACCAAACATTAAGAATATGTGAATTAATTATGATGACAACGAATCATTAATCATAGTTAAACAGATGAGAGAGTAATTTATCACTATTTAAAGGTTACTAGCGGGCCAGATGAAGGGGATACGTCAAAAGCAATATTTATAAGTTCTATGTACTGAAAAACTGAAAATAAAATGAATTATTAATTTAATATACTGCATACAAAGTTGCTAGCTGCAACCAGAGCAAAATTTATGAGTTAAGGACGGACGCCTGAAAAGAAAATGCATAAAAACTTTTCAGTCTGAATGAAGTCAGTTTATTCTTTCCAAGCAACAACTAACTCGTAAATCATATTTTTTGTTGCCAAACCAGGAAACAGAAACTTTGGACACTTTAGGTTAATAAGCATACGTATGACGTCATGATTTAAATTTAACGTAATATAACAACTTTTTCTCAATATCAATAAAAGAATTAACGTGGCACTAATATACCGTGTCAATTATTGTAATCTGAAAGAAGAATGTTGCCAACAACAACTGTTTATTTAAAATGTTGACATAAACGAAATATTTTCGACATTCAGTGACGTCACATGCAATCGCGTGCTTTCTCCAACGTCAAAACATGATTTTATATTATAACAATAAATATATTATAACAATAATATATTTAAAGTTTGGCAATATTATTTTTATTTAATATTCTGTAAAACTTACAAATTTTGATTAAGAAACTCTACCATTTGAAAGCGAACAGTGGCAACACTTTCCAAATAAAGCTGATTTTTATCTCCAGCCAGCGAGATTGTTGCCACTCGGAAGAATGAGGGCAAAAATGAGCGTTTTCGGAGTTTTTAATCAATATCTCGGCTGATTAAAGTCGTACGAAGACGAGAATGGTGAATAGGCTTCCCACGAATTTTCCAAAAATTTTTTAAACTTGGAATAATATATTTAATGTTTGACAATGCCACTTTTATTTAATAATTTGTAAAACTACGAAATTTTTTATTTAGAAAGTTTTGAACGCGAGCAGTGGCAACAAATTTCGAAATAAAAGCAAATTGTTATCTCCAACGAGCGAGACTGTTGCCACTTGGAAAAATGAGGGAAAAAATTAGCGTTTTCGGAGTTTTTAATTAATATCTCAGCTAATTAAAATCGTACGAAGATGTGAATGGTCGGAATGGCTTCCCATGAATTTTTGGAATCCGGGTGGGGGGAGTACCTCTCTCGAATCTCAACTCCCCGCCGTGCCGGAGAAGATGATGGCACACAGACAGACAGACGAGCGCAGATTTTAATAGTATAGATTTGTAAACATTTTGAATTAAATCATAAACAATGAGCTTGAACTAATTTATTTGTCCCTAAGCTGCTTCAATTTAATCTTAAAAAAAATTGTAAGATATTTGCTTATTTTCCACTGGACTTCAAAATGGATTAAACAGCAACAAATTTCTTTCCTAGATATATGTAGGTAACAAACTAATTAGAATGAAAGATAATTCCTCTCTGAAACTTGAATTATACTTGTAAAATTGCTTCCATGTTACTCACAAAACTGTTCTGAAAGCCCATTTAAACTTAAATAACTATCATGACTTCAGGAAATTCATTCAAAATAAGATGCATTGAAACCGGATATCTGGATGCACTTTCTTTAGTCTGACAGAAAATACCTCGAAACCAACCAAACAAGAAATGATAAAATATTTTCCGTGAGCTGCAAGAATTCAAGTGGTATAGGTAACCAACGATTGCAGGTCAGTGAAAGGTCTATTCTGTGTCTGGGGTTCAACAGGCTGATAAGGTTTGATTCATGCAATTACGGCAAAGTTTCGAGAGCTATCTGCTTAAGGGGAGGGGTGTCTTCGTGGAGGACTTTCTAACAGAACCTGTCTCATATATACGTTACACATGGGAAAAATACTCAGCAGCCCGCTCGAGAGATTTAACCCTTTCCGGTACGATACCTTTTAAAGTTGGAGTTTTGATAAAAAAAAAAAAAAAGGTAGGCAATCTAATTAGGCCTAGAGGAGTATACAAGTAAACTTTTATGAAGATAGCACTTATCGTTTTAAATCTGTGGGTGTGCCCAAAGTGGGCACACTGATTGAAATAGAACTTCGAAAAGAGTGCTGAAACGAGCATTGACGTCAATGAACTGACCGATGAGATGCCTAGAAAAACAGTTGTCCTAGTCCTAGATTATCGGTGATCCCGCTCTGGGCACACCTAGGGTTCGCCGTTTGATTTTAGGCAAGATTTCAAGATAAAAATTTAAAACTGATATAGAATAAGAAGATTAGCACACAGCCGAAAAATAACATAGAAATTTCTTTTCAAACAATTCCTTTTATATCCTAAAAAAAATCTGGAAGATTTCTTTGAAAAATGAGGGTCTTAAAAAACTAAACATGGCTAAAATATATGGACTGGTTTGTGTTGAGCTGCCATCTACTATAAATAAAGAAGGTTCAGAGTAACCTATAAATCCTTTTTCATTCAATTTTTCTGTGCGTACAGAAGGAAACTTTTAGGTGTGTCCAGAGCGGACACACTGTGCCGCAAAGGGTTAAACCTCGGACGAACTACCAGTGTTCGGCGACTTTACTGCTCGGCCGCTGATTCCCCCCACGGGCTGTTAAATAAGGTATCTTGAATTAACATTTAAAGATAAGATCTGGAATAATAAAACTTATATATTATATGTAAGTTATGTTTGCGTAAAATTATCTTCGCAATTTTTTGTTTTATTCCTTGTACGAAGCAAAGGAAGTATTGAAATCGAGAGAAATTTCGGGTAGCCCAGTTCAAAGAAAATATCCATTTTGACAGCTATCGAACCAATTTGAACGACGTTTCTGCGAGACATCTGTACGTATGGACAGTATCAACAACTTTTTTTTTCTAAAACGGACTGCAAAATGGATTTTAAATGGATTCATCCATTTTTTCGTGATTCGGTACGTTTGAAGAGATTATTTTTGACGTCTGTACGTACGTATGTTTCTCGCATAACTCAAAAATGAGACGTCATAGAACGTTGAAATTTTGTATATGGGACTGCTATAACATGTATTTGTGTTCCCTCCCTTTTTCGTCCAAAGCGGCAGCACGAAAACATATACAAATTTATATATATATATATATACTGGTCGTCAAAATTAAAGGATAAAGAGAGAAAAATATGCTAAGTTAATGCTGCAACCACTGGTCAATGTTGTAATTAGTTATGTTAATTAAATACAATTGAACTCAAAATTACACTTCCGCGCATGTGTTAACGCCAGAAATGCGCAAATTCGACGATTAACAATGTGATGTGGAATGGAAATATGTCGTAATTCCGGTGTCTCCAAAGAAATGAACTCGAGGTCATCCAAAGAGTTTTGAAGTGACCTAGACAGATTGAAATCCAAGCAAGGTCTGGTGAATGTGGAGAAAAGGACACAGAACATCACAGTCGTATTCAACAAATCGTTTTCTAACATTCATCAAAAGGTGGCGTGCAGCATTGCCATGATGGAAGACAACAAATCGACAAGTGAGCGCTCTTCTTCAATTTCTGTTTTTGAAATTGCCATGTGGAAACGGTATTTTTCTAAATTTATAGTTTCATTTGGTGACAACAGTATGTAATTCCTTAGTAGTCTGACCGTACAAAAGCCCCTCTCGATGTTACTAAAGGAGGGTCTTTTGGCTTACTCCCTGTCCTTTTCGTTGTAGCATTACAGCACAGTATTCACTTATCAATTTTAGCAATGATCCTTTCCAAAGAGAAGGAGCTTTATTTTTCTTTCAACAAATAATAACATGCGGAAACTCGAGCAAGCAACTTCTCCTCTTCATAGGTACCCATACACTGAAGCAGCTTGCATACCAAATCTTCAAATGGTCAGGTATTGTATTTTTTAAAATATTTAGATTGCCTGATAGTTCCTGAACTATATAGAGTGGATTTTTAGCAGTAGTTCCTTTAATTGGCCTTTGTTTACATAGGATGGTCGTTCAGAGCGGGCATAAATCTTCGAGGCTGGAATTTCCTTTCTTACCGCTTAACGACCACGCCCAAGATATCTCGGGAATTAATATGTTTCTCGCACTGTCAAAAACAATGGCAAATAGAGGTATCCAATTTTGAATAACGTACTTCTCCATTCGAATATAGACATCTGGAATCTAGAATTTGTTTGATTATCTATTTCATATTTTGTCCAACATTAAAAGAACTTTTGAATAACAACTCAACCATTTCAAAGAGAGGAAATGGCAACACTGTACAAAAAAAAAGGTGGGGGGAGAAAGAAAAAACAATGATTTCAAAGAGAGATATGGCAACATTTTGCGGGGAAAAAACATTTTTATCTCCAGTGCGCGAGCCTGTCTATCGGAAATTCTAAGGATACGCTGTTTTTAAATATTTTTAAACGAAAAGAGCTTTAGCCCAAGTGTTCTCGAAACGTGTACGTGTACGTAAATGAAAAAACGCCCCTCTGTGCGTAATATAAAATCTGAATCTTTCAATTTTTTTTTTAAACTCCAATTTTAATTTCTTGTGTTTCATAAAGTATGCTACGAGGCTTACACGAGTAAGTTATAGGATTAAGAAAATAAATAAATATACAAAAGCACTGAAGATCAGGAAAAATTATTAAAAAAAAACCATACATAAATAAAAAAAAAAACTGTAAACGTTTTCAGATTTTATATTAGGTCTAAACGGGCATTTGTTTTCATTTACATACTAATACACGTTTTAAGAGCATTTGGGCTAATGTCCCTTTGGGTAAAAATATTAAAAAGCAGCATATCTTTAGAATTTCCGACAGTTAAAACCGCGTTGCCATTGCTTGCTTTGAAATCGTTGAGTTTATTTGTCAGAAATTCTAATTTAATCTAAG